TGTGGTTGAATTTAGGAATCCATATTTTTACCCTTGGTGCTTGGTTGGTTGGTTACCAAACTCGTGGAGTGTTTCCGGCTTGTAGCATAGTGAGTATTTTGTTTGCTCAAGGTAATCGACTGCAAAGGTAATCCGTCTAACTCTTAGCCTTTTGGGTTGAAATCATCTATACGATTGGATTCAAGTGGCTTATGGCTCGAATAGTCCAATACGCTTGGGTTGTCGCGTATCATTTGGTATCAGAGCTTAGGCTCTAGATTCGGATATATGTTTTTTTCTGTCTTTATATTTTTTGTCTTTGTCTTTACTTTCCCTTATTCGAAAATCATACGAAAAAATATCATCCATTGTTCTTGTGTTCCACGTTCCTTTTGATCTATAGTTTTTGCATGAGAATTTTTTATTTCGAAAATATCTTTAAAGCGTATAAAACTTGTTTGTTTGTGTTCAGCACCTTAAGCTTTCCAAAAATCCAAGTTTCACTTTAAGCCGAGCCCTAGAGCCAAAGTTATAAATTTTTCTTCGAACCCTAGAATTTGAGAGAAACCTGCAGAGAGCACAAAACCCAGAGTCGACTTCAAAAATCCATAACTTTTTTTGGACATCCAAATCGACTGAGACCCGTGTTATTCGAAAGATATATGAGTTACTTTCATAGTTTTCATTGATTTTTATTGCATAGTTTTTCTTTATTGAGCATTGACTTTGATTTGTATATGTTGTCGAGCCCTTAATACCGAAAGCATTAGGCTCAAGGTTGGTATCTTATTTTCCTTGTTTATATATTTGTTTCAATTGTTTGTGTTCTATCATTTGGTATTTGTTTGCTATCATTTGAATTTTGTCTTTGGTATCATCTATATCATTGACCCTTAGTAAAAAAAAAAGTATTTTTGCATATGTTGCTTGTAGACTTGTGCTTGCTTTTTCAAATGTCGATTTTCCACGAGCAATCAAGTGAGCATCTCCAAGAGGGTATCCACACCAACATCCACCCTACCAAAGGTAAGAAGCGGATAGGCCAAGTAAGGGAGTGAAAAAGAGTTGTTTTCTTTATTAATTCTAACCTTTACTTGTGTAGTGATGGCAACACGAGGAAAGTCTCACGGTTCTCAAGAAGAAAGAGACAAGGCAAACGTGAGTGATGAATGACTTAAGGAAGCTCAAATCCAAGCCTTTGCAAGATTTACGCAACGGCTTGAAGATCTTACTGAAT